ACATACACGTACACAGACGCACGCATGCAAAATTGTACACAAACATGTACATAGACGCACACACAAGATTACACACATACGTACACAGACGCGTGCACACAACATCACACCTACGCCTACACGAGGACGCAGATACAAAGAAAGAAATTATGAGACCAAGGAGCAAGAGATAAAAAGGGGAAGAAGGAGAGAGAGAAGAGGGACGGAGGAAGGAGAGAGACAGAAAGAGAGAGATGGGGAGCAGAGAGAAAGAGAGAGATAGAGGGCGGAGGAGGAGAGAAGAGAAAAAGAGACAGAGAGGAAAGGAATGGAAATCTGCTTTCTTTACCTTCTATATGTGATTATTATTATCATCATTCTTTTCTATATTATGTTTTATCGTGTAATGACCAACCGACTCACGACCATGCCTTTCTCCCTCTAAGAAAATGAAGTAAAATGTATTACCTTCTCTGTCATCAGTCTAGTAATAAAAAAATATATATAATAGTGATAATAATGGTAATGATAATAACAAAGATAATTATGATAATAATCAATAGAAAAATAATACTGCTAATAATAATGGCAATAGTAATAACAATAATATAATAATAATGATAATAACAATACTAGTGATAAGTATAAAGATAAGAATTATTATCATCATTATCGTTAACACTATCATTATCATCATCATACTAATGATAAGGATGATAACAACAATGATAACAGAAGCGAGGATAACCATTGTACTAAAAAGGGAATATTAGAAATATGTTCGTTCACCTGGTATTCAAAAGATCGAATGAAGAAAACTAAATAAGGAGACAGAAAGGAAGAGGAGAACAGCAAGAGAGAGAAAGAGACAGAGAAAGATAAAGAGGAAGAGAGAGGTCGAGAGAGACAAGGGAGTAAGAGAAAATGAATGAAATAAGATGCAGGAGAGAGAGAGAGAAGATAGAGTAAGAGAAGAGAGTGGATAGAGTAAGAGAGAGGGGGGGTGGAGAGAGCGTATGCCAGAGAGAGAGAGAAAAAAGAGAGGCCAGATAAACAGAGAGAAAGAAAGGAGAGAAAGGGCAAATACACAAAGGAGAGAGAGAGAGAGAGAGAGAGAGAGAGAGAGAGAGAGAGAGAGAGAGAGAGAGAGAGAGAGAGAGAGAGAGAGAGAGAGAGAGAGAGAGAGAGAGAGAGAGAGAGAGAGAGAGAGAGAGAGAGAGAGAGAGAGAGAGAGAGAGAGAGAGAGAGAGAGAGAGAGAGAGAGAGAGAGAGAGAGAGAGAGAGAGAGAGAGAGAGAGAGAGAGAGAGAGAGAGAGAGAGAGAGAGAGAGAGAGAAGAAAGAAGAAAGAGAGTAAATAAACAGAGAGGGATAAAAATAGAATAAAAAAGAGGAGAAAGTCCAAAAGCCCAAACCCACGCCTTGTCACTCCACACCTAAAATACCAAAGAAAAATATACGAATGAAAGAAAGAAAGGAAATAAGAAAGACCAAAAGAGAAAGACAAGTCCACCTCAGACACTCCAGCCACAAAAAGGAAAAAGAAAAAGAAAAATGAAGAGAAACGAGAGAGAAAGGCAAAGACAGAAAGAAAATTGAATAGAAAAGTTAGACAAGCACACCTTACGCAATTTCTCTCTAGCATCCAAAGTAAGGACGTATAAAAACTAACAAAGAAAGGAATAATAGAGAAAAGAGAGAACGGGAATAGGAAAAAGAAGAAAAGAAATAATGGGATAGAGAGAGAAACAAAACAAACGAAAAAACAAACTAATCACAGGAATGAGAAAAATGTTATAAGATGAGAGAGAGAAAAAAAAATAAAAACATCGCGAGAAAGCAAAGAAAAAAATACAGAATAAAATGAAAGAGCGAGAGATGCAATGATTAATAAAATGAATGAGAGAGAGAGAGAGAATGTGAGGAAAATAAAAACAAAGAGGAAGATGATAACAAAGAAACACAGAAAGAGAAGTACGGGGATGAGAAAAAGATGGAGAGAGAGAAAAATGAAAAATAAGTCATGTCTGTCAAAACAGGAAAAAGACAGAATGAGAAAAAAAGACAGAAAGAAAAAGAAAAAGAAAAAGAGACAGAAGGAGAAAGAGAATGAGAAAAAGAGACAGAGAGAGAGTGAGAAAAAGAGACAGAAAGAGAAAGAGAAAGAGAGACAGAAAGAGAAAGAGACATAAAGAAAATGAGAAAAAGAGGCAGTAAAAGAAAAAAAGAGACAAAAACAGAAAAATCAAGAAAAAAAAATAGAGAAAGAGAGAGAAAAAGAGAGGGCGAGAGAGAGCCCCCGGAGGGAGCGCCCAGCTGAGGCGGCCAAACCTCCTAAATAAATGCAGAAAAAAATAGAGAAAGAGAGAGAAAAAGAGACAGAAAAAAAAGAGACAAAACCAAAAAAAAAAAAAAAAAAGAGAAGAGAGAGAAAAAGAGAGGGCGCGAGAGAGCCCCCGGAGGGAGCGCCCAGCTGAGGCGGCCAAACCTCCTAAATAAATGCAGAAAAAATAGAGAAAGAGAGAGAAAAAGAGACAGAAAAAAGAAAAAAAGAGACAAAACCAAAAAAAAAAAAAAAAAAAATAGAGAAAGAGAGAGAAAAAGAGAGGGCGAGAGAGAGCCCCCGGAGGGAGCGCCCAGCTGAGGCGGCCAAACCTCCTAAATAAATGCAGAAAAAATAGAGAAAGAGAGACAGAAAAAAGAAAAAAAGAGACAAAACCAAAAAAAAAAAAAAAAAAAATAGAGAAAGAGAGAGAAAAAAGAGACGGCGAGAGAGAGCCCCGGAGGGGAGCGCCCAGCTGAGGCGGCCAAACCTCCTAAATAAATGCAGAAAAAAATAGAGAAAGAGAGAGAAAGAGAGACAGAAAAAAGAAAAAAAATGACAAAACCAAAAAAATCAAAAGAAAAAAATAGAGAAAGAGAGAGAAAAAGAGAGGGCGAGAGAGAGCCCCCGGAGGGAGCGCCCAGCTGAGGCGGCCAAACCTCCAAAATAAATGCAGAAAAAAAGAGAGAGAAAAAGAGACAGAAAAAGAAAAAAGAAAGAGAGAGAAAAGAGACGGCGAGAGAGAGCCCCCGGAGGGAGCGCCCAGCTGAGGCGGCCAAACCTCCTAAATAAATGCAGAAAAAAATAGAGAAAGAGAGAGAAAAAGAGACAGAAAAAGAAAAAAAGAGAAAGAGAGAGAAAAAGAGACGGCGAGAGAGAGCCCCCGGAGGGAGCGCCCAGCTGAGGCGGCCAAACCTCCTAAATAAATGCAGAAAAGAAAGAGAAAGAGAGAGAAAAAGAGACAGAAAGAGAAAAAAAGAGAAAGAGAGAGAAAAAGAGACAGAAAAAGAAAAAAAAGGACAGAAACAGAAAAATCGAGAAAAAAATAGAGAAAGAGAGAGAAAAAGAGACACAAAAAGAAAAAAAGGACAAAAAAAAAGAAAAGAAAATAAAAGAATGAGAAAAAGAATGAGAAAAAGAGGCAGAATAAGAAAAAGAGACAAAACCAAAAAAATAAAAAAAAAATAGAGAAAGAGAGAGAAAAAGAGACGGCGAGAGAGAGCCCCCGGAGGGAGCGCCCAGCTGAGGCGGCCAAACCTCCTAAATAAAAACAGAAAAAGAAAGAGAAAGAGAGAGAAAAAGAGACAGAAAAAGAAAAAAAGGACAAAAACAGAAAAATCAAGAAAAAAATAGAGAAAGAGAGAGAAAAAGAGAGGGCGAGAGAGAGCCCCCGGAGGGAGCGCCCAGCTGAGGCGGCCAACCTCCTAAATAAAAACAGAAAAAGAAAGAGAAAGAGAGAGAAAAAGAGACGGCGCGAGAGAGCCCCCGGAGGGAGCGCCCAGCTGAGGCGGCCAAACCTCCAAAATAAATGCAGAAAAAAAAGAGAAAGAGAGAGAAAAAGAGACAGAAAAAGAAGAAAAGAGAAAGAGAGAGAAAAAGAGACAGAAAAAGAAAAAAAAGGACAGAAACAGAAAAATCGAGAAAAAAATAGAGAAAGAGAGAGAAAAAGAGACACAAAAAGAAAAAAGGACAAAAAAAAGAAAATAAAAGAATGAGAAAAAGAATGAGAAAAAGAGGCAGAATAAGAAAAAGAGACAAAAACAGAAAAATCAAGAAAAAAAACAGAGAAAGAGAGAGAAAAAGAGAGGGCGAGAGAGAGCCCCCGGAGGGAGCGCCCAGCCGAGGCGGCCAAACCTCCTAAATAAATGCAGAAAAAAACAGAGAAAGAGAGAGAAAAAGAGACACAAAAAGAAAAAAGGACAAAAAAAAAAAACAGAAAATAAGAGAATGAGAAAAAGAATGAGAAAAAGAGGCAGAAAAAGAAAAAAAGTGACAAAAACAAAAAAAATCAAAAGAAAAAAATAGAGAAAGAGAGAGAAAAGGAGACGGCGAGAGAGAGCCCCCGGAGGGAGCGCCCAGCTGAGGCGGCCAAACCTCCTAAATAAATGCAGAAAAAAATAGAGAAAGAGAGAGAAAAAGAGACAGAAAAAAAGAGAAAGAGAGAGAAAAAGAGACAGAAAAAGAAAAAAAAGGACAGAAACAGAAAAACCGAGAAAAAAATAGAGAAAGAGAGAGAAAAAAGAGACACAAAAAGAAAAAAAGGACAAAAAAAAAAAAAAAAGAATGAGAAAAAGGCAGAATAAGAAAAAAGAGACAAAAACAGAAAAATCAAAAGAAAAAATAGAGAAAGAGAGAGAAAAAGAGACGGCGAGAGAGAGCCCCCGGAGGGAGCGCCCAGCCGAGGCGGCCAAACCTCCAAAATAAAAGCTCCCTATTTAATTACACATTCTACCCCGGTGGAACTCAGACCTAAGAAATTCCATCGCCGAGGCCGCCGCGCTCACGAAATGTCAACGGATGACCTCGGGGCCTCGTGGTCGGGCCGATTTCAGAGGCCGATTTGTTGGCTCGCGTGGCCGATTTGGGGTCACGTGTGGATGGTTGTGGTCTGGTGTGGCCGATTTGGGGTCACGTGTGGGGGGTTGTGGGCTGACGTGGTCGGTTTGGGGTCTCGTGTGGGTGGTTGTGGTTCACGAAATGTCAACGGATGACCTCGGGGCCTCGTGGTCGGGCCGATTTCAGAGGCCGATTTGTTGGCTGGCGTGGCCGATTTGGGGTCTCGTGTGGGTGGTTGTGGTCTGTGTGGCCGGTTTGGGGTCTGATGTGGCCGGTTGGGGTCTCGTGTGGGTGGTTGTGGTCTGATGTGGCCGGTTTGGGGTCTCGTGTGGGTGGTTGTGGTCTGATGTGGCCGGTTTGGGGTCTCGTGTGGGTGGTTGTGGTCTGGTGTGGCCGGTTTGGGGTCTCGTGTGGGTGGTTGTGGTCTGATGTGGCCGATTTGTGGTCTCGTGTGGGTGGTTGTGGTCTGGTGTGGTTGATTTGGGGTCTCGTGTGAGTGGTTGTGGGCTGACGTGGTTGTTTTGGGGTCTCGTGTGGGTGGTTGTAGTCTGCTGTGGCCGATTTGTTGGCTCGTGTGGCCGATTTGGGGTCTCGTGTGGGTGGTTGTGGGGTGATGTGGCCGATTTGGGGTCTCGTGTGGGTGGTTGTGGTCTGGTGTGGCCGACTTGGGGTCTCGTGTAGGTGGTTGTGGTCAGATGTGGCCGATTTGGGGTCTCGTGTGGGTGGTTGTGGTCTGATGTGGCCGATTTGGGGTCTCGTGTGGGTGGTTGTGGTGATTGATGTGCGATTTGAGGTTGTGGTCTGACGATTTGAGGTCTCGACGTGGGCGATTTGGGGTCCGTGTGGGTGGTTGTGGATTTGATTGTCTCTGTGTGGTGGTTGTGGTCTGACGTGGGCGATTGGGGTCTGCGTGTGTGGTCTGACGTGTGGCGATTTTGGGGGTCTCGTGTTGGTTGGTGTCTGGTATGGTGGCACTTGGGTCTCGTGTGGTGACGGTGGGGCGTTGTGGTGATGATGCTTGTTTGTGGTGGTGGTTGGGGTCCTGCGTGTTTGTGACCGATTCTGTGATGTGGCCGATTTGCAGGACTTCATTTGATTTTTGGTTATGACTTGTGCTTATCTATTGCCTCAATGACCGAATTTGTGGACTCGTGTGGCCCGAGATTGTGACGAATATGTCTTGTTTTGCGGTCCGGAATGTCCGATCTGTACTCTATTGTGTCATTTTTGGACTCAGAGGTGCTAAAATCGGTGTAAAATCGGACACACCGTAGAGCAAAATGGATACTTAAGGATACGTGTGCTATGTATCAACTTTGCTTTACAACGTGTCCTGTCTGCCTCTTAATGTGCCTCATATACGACCTTGAATGTTCGGTTTGTGGTCTTTTGTGTCTATTTCACGGCTAAAGGTGTCCACTTCCCGTTCTCTTGGCTTTTCGGTTCGATTTCGAATCCCAGGTGCGTCTGATTTTTGTTTTCTTCTGTGAGAGTAATGTAATACGATATTAGTTATAGGTGAATTATAAAGATATAATAGTATAATAGTGTATATTCGATAGTGAGAAATGGAGGACATATATAGCCATCGATGAGATCATGTACTAAACTTATAGGTTCAGCTAATAATAATTACTTCTCTATATACACGAGAGAGAGTACATATAATATATATATATATATATTATACTATATATATATATATTATTATATATATACAACATACATATATATATAATATAATTATATTATATTATATAGTATAGCTAATTCTATGAATTTATCACCACACAGCACGTGAGCAGTCACACGACACACACGAGTATCCCCACTATATATCTATTCACGTGAGACGCTATATCACCCTGAGTCTATTAGCAATATAATATGGAGAAATCCATATAAAAATACGAGAGAGAGTACTTATACGGTCTAATAGGAGTGAGATAAGGTCATATTGACGTAGAGACCGCTAACACTAAAGTATTAAGCTAATTATATCTCGAAATATATATAAATAATGATTATCAATTATTATATAATATCAAATTAGTAAATACATTACTGAGTTGAGACAATACTAATAATATATAAGTACTCTAGTTATTATAGTATTTAGGTCATGTATTGATGCTCTCACTATATCTAGACCCACTAGTATACTCAGCTAGCATAACGGTAAAGTAGATATAACATAATAATGTATAAACCTACATCTATTATTTGGGTACTGCCGAGTAAATATAGTTATTGAACTATCTTTAATATATATTTAGCATGCTATTGATTTTTTTGATTGAGGATGGAGTATACTAGAGAAATACTTATACTAATATGCCGTTATTTCTCACTGCTCATCATCATACGCATCCATAAGCTATCTACATCATATGCTATCTATCTATCTAGTCTACCTCTATCTATGGTATATTCTCATATCTGAGGTCACATCATCAATCTATCTATAATATATTTACATAGTCGGTACATATTAGGTAGCAATATAATATATGAGTGAGTTATCATATATAATAGCAACTAAGATATCTAGGAGACACGAGATCGTTTAGATGACAATTATATTATAAGTAAAATATATTATATGTAGAAATCTGGGCGTTAAGACTCGCAATGGCATGTAAGTTTCATCTTTTCTTCCTCTTTCCCCTTCTCTCTCTGATGTTTCCGGGGGAGGGGTTAAACAGCATTTTCCAAGAGAGAATTCAACGGAACAAGGAAAGGACAAGGTAAGGGTGCGGCCATAATAGAATAGAGATTATAGCCTGAGTAATGAGACAAGAGTAGACAAAAGAAAAGGGTAATTCGGAGGAGAAAAAAAAAGAGCGAAAGGCAAAAGGAGGGAGAGAAAAAAATAGGATGAAACCGGAAGAAGGAGAAAAGCAGAATTGAAACATATTAAAGCGAGAATGAAGTAAGCAAAAAACAAGAATAAAAAGAATAAAAAAAAATTAGAAGAGGGTGGGAAAAAGAATAAGAAAGAAAAAAAGTAGCATGGTAGAGAAAATAAGAAAGTTGGAAAGGGGAAACAGAGAGGAAAATAGGAGAAAATCGGAGAAAGGAAATAAAAGGAAAATAAGAACAGAACCACGTAAGAAAAGAAAAAAAAATGATAGAAACAATATTAAAAAGAGAAAAAAAAAAGCATAATTTAGAAACAAAGAAGATAAAAAAGGAAATAAAAAATATAACATGAATAGAATTAACTTAGGAAACGAATGAAAAGAAAAGTACGAACAAAAATCAGGGAGATAGGACAAGGAATGAGCATAAGAGAACAAAGAGAGCAAAAATATTAAGGCAGAAATAATTGTAAAGGGTAAAAAGAAACAAAATGTAGTAGTGCATCCTCCATGCCAGTGTGAGCTGGGCATATAAGTTTCGACACGACATCTAGTCGCAAGATAACTTATAGCCTAACATTTCGCCATAATATCTATAGCAGAGAGAGTATATATATAGTGGTAAAGTTAGTTACGCATATTATTTACTCAAAAAGGAGGTACGATTATTTACGTCAACTCAGTGTTAGATTAGAGCGACTAATCCTATATGTGTGAATGAGATTGTATCATCGTGTGTCGTGGTAGATGTGTGGGTGGGTAGATTGTGCTGTGTGTGTGTGTGGTGTGGTCAGTTCCGTAGATGTGTGTGATTGTGTGTGTGTGAATATGCGGCGAGTTAGAGAAAAAGAGTAACTCATTGACATACGGTGGTTGCATATAGTGTTGTTTATAAGCCTGCTGATGTGGTGATTTTCCTTCTTTGCGTGTGAGCGTTCTTTATAATATAGACTTGTTATTTTTTTCTTAATATTTCTTCTCTTTCGCTTATTCTTTCTATATTTAAAATTCTTTGTTCTCCCACATCTCTCATTTTTCGTGTATGCTTTCTATTTCTCTTTTTCGATTTTTCGTTCTCTTCTTTTTCTTTCATTTTCTTTCTTTCCTTTTTATTCCCGCATCTCCCTCCCCAGTCACGAGCGAGAGCCACCCCGCAGAACGGCCACTCAGTTCGAGCGACCGAGTCTCTGCAATGCCAGGTCATATGCCGATGCAACCTTGCAATACAGTATGACTCCATTGCTGATTGTTGTTTCGCCAAAATAGCATTAGTAGAGCTTCTGACTTCTGGGGAGCGAGTGTGTGTCTCCTCTCCTGCTTCTCTTTAATCCTTTCTCATCAAGCTTTTTCCTTTCTCTTTCTTTTCTCTCTCTAATGTCCTCTTCTCTTTCTCTTTCTCTCCTAACTTTCTTTTCTCTTCCCTTTCTCTCTCTCTCTCTCTCTCTCACTCTCCTCTCTCATCTCTCGGTCTGTCATGTCTCTCTCCTCTACTCTCTCTCTTCTCACCTCTCTCTTTCTCTCTCTGCTCTCTCTCTTCTCTTCTCTTTCATTTTCTCTCTCACTTTTCCTTTTCCTTTCTCTCTCTCGTCTCTCCTTCTTCTCTCCTCTTTCGTACCACCCTCTCTCATCATCGTTCTCACTGCTGCGTCTCCGATCTCATCGTCTTCTCAGTCTCTCATCGTCTCTTCCTCTTGCTCGCTCTTCATCTCGGTGCAGATCTGTTTCTACGAATATTTGTGCGTGCGTGCGTGCGGGTGGTCTCTCATCCCTCTCTCTCTCCCTATCTCCCCTCTCTCTCTCTCTCTCTCTCGGGCTCTATCTCTCTATCTATCTATCCTATCTATCTGTCTGAGCTGGTCTGTCTACTCTAGTTGCAATACTATTAAATTTCGTGCTCTATATATCTATCTAAATACTATTTTACTATCTTCTCTATTTTCGGGGATATTGGATAGCCTACTATCGATATATCTATCTGGGCTCTTCTCTTTCCTCTCTCTCCATCCCACTCATCTCCTATCCGTTCTCGTCTCTCTCTCTCCTCAGTCCTCTCTCTCTCCTCGGCGCGCACGTCCGATCGCCTCGTTACGTCACTCGCTCTCCTCCTCTCGTGTGCTTCACTTTTCCACCATAGAGTCGTTCATCCTTCTTGTCTCTCTGGTCTCTCTAATCTCCTCTCTGCGCTTGCTTGTTCCACGCTGGCTACGCGAGGTGAATCGAGTCTTTTAAGAGCGCACCGTTGCGCGGAAGTTGATTACCTGCGTTGTGGGTCTAGGTTGAGTGGTTCAATCATTCATAAACCATACCGATGTCAGGATCGTCCGGTACTAAAGGTCTTGAGCTAATTATTAATTAGTTATTTAATTCTAATCATAATTTCTATTCGGGCGTATCTGGTCTATGGGATCCGGGATTCTATGTTCAATAGATATCTAATATCTTTATGATTGCCTCAGAACACTATGTTTCCATATCTCTCTGTTCCTTCTGCTCTTTCTGTCTATATTTTCCTACTTCCTTTCTCTGGTCTTTCCTTTCTTTTCTCTTTCTTTCTCCATCTCTATAATCTCGCTCTCTCTCTCTTCAATCTTGCGAGGTCTTCTCACCTCTCTTCTCCTCTCTCTCATCTCTTCTCCAGCAAGCTGTTCGTCTTTTCTCCCAAGTTGCAGGGCACACCAATCCCACTCAGTCCTCTCTCTCCCCTCCTCTTTCTTCTCAGTTCACTCTCTCTTCTCTCCTCCTATCTCATCTGCTCTACTCTCCTTCATCTTCTCCTCGCCTCTCTCCCTACTCTGTCCCACCCCTCTTACGCAGGCTCAGCTTGCCTCTCCTAAGTCTATGCATCTCACTCCCAGAACAGTTCCATCTCTCTTGCGTCACTGATCCTCTCTTCTCTCCTCCTCTCTTCATCTCACTCTCTCTCTCTCTCTCTCTCCTCTCCTCATCTCTCTCGTCTCTTCTCTCCCTTAGAGCACGCAGTCCGGGTTTACTCACATTCCCTCTAAGGCACCGTGGTCTTCTCTGCATCTATCTATCTGGTCTAATCTATCTATGACTCTATACGTCTGGCTGTATCTATCTAGGCTAGCTATATAATATATATATAATATATATAATTATATATATATATATATATATATATATATATATATATATATATATATTAATATATATATATATATATATATATTATATATATATATAGGTTATATATATATATATATATATATA